AAAATTTTAAAAAAAAAAAAAAAAAAAAAAAATGAAAAAAATGAAAAAAAAATGAAAACAAATAACAAATTACAAAAACAAAAACAAAAACAAAAATATTGATGAGAGAAATGAGAAAATAATATAAGGATAAAATAATGATAAAAACAAAACAAGAAAAAAGGTATAAATAACAAAAATACATATTATTATAATGTAAAAAAAAAAAAAAAAAAAAAAAATTAAATTTATTAAATACGTTTAAAAAAAAAATAAAATAATATATAAAGACAAAATATATTAAACAAAAATCTTTACACATAACATTGGTATATATATATTACAAATAATCAATAAAATATTATTACTAATATAATAGTTAATTAGAAAATGATACCATTTATATATAACTTGTAAATCAATTAAAAGAAAGGTATTATATATATATCTTAATATGTACCATTTTTAATCTTTTTTTTTTTTTTTTTTTTTTTTTTTCATATTATTTAATTTTATTATGAAACAATAAATAAATAAGTAAATAAATAAGTATATAAATAAATAAATAAATATATATATATATATATATATTTTTCTTGATAAAAATTAACTTCTGTTACTATGTTTGTTAAAAAATTGCAAACCTATAATCTTAATTTTATTTAATTTCCTCTTACTTTTTTTTTCAGTCACACTATTATTTATATTATTGGTTTCATTTGAATTATTTTGTAAGAAATTCATATTTTTTTTATTTTCGTTAATTAATTCATCATCATTAATATTTGTCACATTACCAGTAGACGATGATACACGACTAAAAAAACTTACTTTATTCTGAAATTCATTATTGTTTAAATGATTATTTAAATTTTCATCTTCATATTTATATTCTTCATAAAGCTTATCATATGATTTTTTAGAGAACTTTGTACTAATAGATGTACTAGAATTATTTTTAGATTTCGAAAAAGCATAATCAAATCTTTTAGGTAAAATTGATTTAATACTAATACTAGATTTTTTTGTACTTATATTACCATCAGAATTAATACTATTTAAACTATTAATATTATTATTATTATTATTTTTATTATCATTATTGTTATGTTCATTTTTCACATCCACATTTAGGTTTTCTCCATAATTTATATTAGCTATATTATTAAATTCATTTTTTGTTTTATATTCATTGCAATCTAAACTTAAATTTTTCAAATAACTTTTTTTATCATATTCTAGTTTCTCATACTTATCTATTTCATCATGGAATAAACTTTTAGTTGCTTTAATTTTACAGTATGAATTTGTTTTTCCTTTTATATCTTTTTTATTTATGTTTTTATGAATATTTTTTGAAATTGTATCTCCTTTATCTGATAATTTTTTAACATTGCTATCAAAAATAGATGCACAACTATTGTAAATATTTATTTCAACCATTTTTGCATCATTTAAATTTGCATCTTTTTTAATACCATCAAGATTATTATTGTCTCTTGTATCTTTAATTTCATGTTTTTTATTATTTACTCTAGAAATGTAAACATTTGATATAGATGTTTTGCGTTCTTTTATACAGTTATTATTAGTATAATTATTAAGTAATTTATTTTTATTTAAATTATTGATATTTTCTTCATCAATGTTAAATGATGAACTATCATATGTTGAATTTAGTGTTATAGAATTTCTATGACAAACGCTACTATTATTATTATACTGACTTGATTCCTTTGTACATATTATAGATTCTATATATTTAAAATAATCATGCATTGATTTAAAATTAGATTTAATAATAAGATGATTTACTAAAAAAGGAAACCGATTTGTTAAATAGTTTATAGTTATATTTGATAAAAATAAATATTTTATTTTAAAAAGCCATTTGTGGAAACTTTCAATATTAACAATATATTTATTTTTTGAATTAATATATTTATTATTCTTTAGAAAGCTATTGTTGATAATATAATATTCTACATTGGCTACTGAATTAATAAAACTTTTATTTAAAAAAAGATCTTTTTTGCTTAAATTTTTTTTTTTTTTTTTTTTTTTATTATTGTTGCAATAATATTCTTCATTTAAAAGATTACTGTGCTGTTTCATTAATTCTTTATTATCATTTTCTATTAATTTTAAGTGCATAGAATAACCTGTAGTTAAAATTTCATATATTTTTTTATTTACCTTATTAAAAATGTCTAAATGAATATCTTTCTTTTTTTCTTTTTTCCCTCTCTCTTCATCTTTTTTTAATACATAACAGTTGGGATAAAAAGAAAATGGATAATACATATTATTTTTTATTTCTTGAATACCTCCATATTTTTTTTCTAATTGTGTTTCTAATATTTCTTCTTTTAAATATGTTGAATAATTATTATCTAAAATTTTTAACTTTTTTGTCATATAATTTGGTGCAAAGCTTAAAAATGACTTTCCAAATGTCTTGAATAATTTGGGAGCATCTATTATATACATCCTGAATAGCCTACACCTATATTTTGAGTTCATAGTCTCAATTAATTTCATAAATGTAGACATTGGAAATTTTGATATAGATATACCTGAACAGTCAATTATTGATATATAATTTTCTATTTTTCCTGGTATACATAAATATTTTAAAAAAAATTCAAAACAAAAAAAAAACAAATTTATTAATTTTTCAACATTTAATAATTCCACATTTAATAAATTTATTATCAATATGGGTCTACACTTTTTATCTCTTCCATGCCAATACATAACCCCCTTATTTATATAATCAATTACATCTTTTTCTTTTATTGGCAATATATTAGAAACTCTGAATTCATAATTACTTTTAATTAAATCTAATGCTTTTGCGAAATCAAATTGTGCCGAATACAAATATCGTAAGCATTCATTTTCAAAATATGTTTTATTTATTTTTAATGATTTATTTTTACAATATTTTTTAAATTCACATATAGCTATTTCCTCTTCCGTACTAATAAAAGTGTTATGAAAAATATATCTTAAATTTAAATTTTTATCATATACATCCTCTTTATTTGGTTCAAAAAAAAATACATTTTCATCTATAGTATATTCATTTACATTTTTTTCAATAACCACCTTTCCTCTCGATAATTCCATAGTACAAAAAGATCAGAAAAAAAATTTTTTATAACAAAATTTTTTTTTTCGTTTTAGAAGGTGTGTTATCCTTTTATTTATTTATTTTTATTTTTTTTTTTTTTTGTAATATTAATTGAAATTCTAATAATTTTTTTTTTTTTTTTCCAAACTTCTACAATAATTGCATTAATAATAAAATTTAACAAATATTTTTTTGATTATATTAAAATTTATCACATTTTTTTTTTCATTTAAAAATACATAATATTTTTAGTTCCACCATATGATTTTCTTTACTAATAACAATATTTAGGTTTAATAAGATATGAAATATTTATAAATCATGTATTATATATCTTTGAAAAATAAAGAAAACAAAATTATATTTTTACAACATAACAATTTTGCAATTATATATATGTATATATATATATATATATATATATTATCCTTGTTTTCATATATTTTAAGACATTTTATCTATTATTAGGATAATCATTAATTAAATTTTATTATTACTAATTATTATTACTAATATTAATTATTATTACTAATATTATTACTATTATCTACTAACAATTATTTATTGCTTAATTTTTAATATTTTTTTTAACTAAAAATAAATTTTAATATATTAAGGTGAAGAAAATAAAATAATAAATATATATTTTTTTTTAAACAAAGTTTATTATATATGTTAATTAATGTGTTATTAAAAAAATAAAATCCATAATTTTTTTTTAATTGATTCATGCAGGTGTACACAAAAATATTATTTCTTCAAATTATACTTCAACACTTTAAGTTAAATAAATATAAATATTTGGGGACAATAAAAAAAAAAATTTCCATATATAAATATATATATATAAATTCAAATATTTATAAATTTTAAATAATATAACATGAATATTTTTTTTAAGTTGTCTAAATTAAAGAAGATGAATGAATTCATAAAATGATAATAAATTATTTATTATAAACAATTAAAAGAAAAAAATGAATAAAAAAAAATTTTTTTTTATGAACACATAAATTTAAACAAATATCTTTGATTCGTTTACTACATAAAAGTTATAAGAGAATTTATTTAAATTAAAACACACAATATATATAATTAAAGTCTTTTTTTCTAAGTGTTAATATTTTATAAAAAAAAAAAAAAATTACATAATTTCATTAATAGTAACATTAAAAAATACAAAAACGCTGTTTAGTTCCTTAATGTTGTAATATTAAACATTATAAATTAAAAATATGTTTGGATATTGTTAAAAAATGCACGAATTCAATTAATTTTTTTATAAAATATAAAATTGCTTAAATAAAATAAATATATATATACATATAATTACACATAGCTAAAAATAAGAAAGTAAACTTTTTTTTTTTTCATAAATGTATAAAAAAAAAAAAAAATAATTATAATAATAAAAAATTTTAGTAAAATTTAAATATGAAAAACAAATGTAACAATGTGTATATTTAATTAATATGTCAATTATTTTTTTTTAATTTTATTTACTTTTTTCCTTTATATTATAATTATAATTTAGATCATAGCTCATTAAAAATAATTTTGCTATTCGAATTATCTTTCTATTTCCTCCCTTGATTTTGATGAAGTTTTTATATAAAAAATGAGAATATACGCAAAATATTTTTTGTTTTTCTTTTTAATTTCACAGGTAAATGAAAAATATTCAATGAATTTTAAAACTTTTTTATAAATTTAAAACATTTTGCATGTACCTGTATAGTATATATATTTATACATATTTGTTTTACATTAAAAAAAAATGAATTAAAAAATAATGTAAAATAAAAACATATAACTTAAGAAAATATGAATATATTTATATGAGATTGACTTTTTTAAAAGAAAAGAAAAGAACAAAATAAATAAATTTGTATATCTTATTTATATACTATATATACATAATTGTGTAATATATTTTCTCATATTTTGTTTACTCGAGAGTGTGTATATATATGGCTGTTAAAAAAAATAATTAAAGAATTATTTATCCTTTTAACATTAAATATTAAAATGAAATAAAGAAATAAAAATAAATAGAAAATGAAATAGATATATTTTATTTATGAGAAATCAAAGTATAATGCCTTCAAGAAGATTGTAACTTTTAATATTTATGCATTTCCATATTATTTTTATTCTCTTTTTGTTTTAAAAATATATATAAATATGAATTAAATTGTAAAAATATGAATAGGTATATAGCAAAAAATATGGGTTTGTTAAGAACAATTTACAAAGAACTACAAAGAATATTTTTAGAAATGTTAGGTTGTACGATAGCTATAATTCAAATCAATTAAAAAATTATTGCGAAGTAAGGGAAAAAAAAAAAAATTTATATATTTTCATATATTTAAATAATATATATATATATATATATGTATATTTATACACGTTATAGACATCAAGAGTTGTGTGTACAGGATTAGGAGTTGTAACTGGTGTTGGAATAGGAATTGAAAAATTTTGGAATAATTTAATAAGTGGATATAATTCAATTGATAAAATTTCGAAGTTTGATGTAACAGGTATGGCATGTGGAATAGGGAGTGAGATTAATAAAAATGATTTTAACCCTTCTGATTTTTACACCAACAAAAAAGATGTTAATAGAAATGATGATTGTACACATTATGCTGTTGCTGCAACAAGGATGGCGATAGACGATGCAAACCTTGATTTAAAAAAGATTGATAGTGATAAAGTAGGAACAATAATTGGAAGTGGTATTGGTGGGTTATTTTTTTTAGAAAAAGAAATGAAAACATTGTATGAAAAAGGTCACAAAAGAATCACTCCATATTTAATACCAGCAATGATAGCTAATACTCCTTCAGGTTTTGTATCTATTGAAAACAATTTAAGAGGTATATCTCTTGGAATGCTAAGTGCTTGTGCAACTTCAGGTAATACAATTGGAGAAGCATATAGATATATAAAATATAAAGAGTATGATGTTATGATATGTGGTGGAACTGAAGCAAGCATTACTCCTATCAGTTTTGCAGGATTTAATGCGTTGAGAGCTTTGTGTATTGGATATAATGATAATCCAAAAAAGGGATGTAGGCCTTTTGATTTAAAAAGAAGTGGATTTGTAATGGGAGAAGGTTCTGGTATTTTAATTCTAGAATCTTATGAGCATGCTATTAAAAGAAATGCTAAAATTTATGGAGAAATTTTAGCATATGCTTCTGAAAGTGATGCTTATCACATAACTGCTCCAGAACCTAGTGGAAGGGGTTTAACGAATTCAATTAAAAAAGTATTAAGAAATGGAAACATAAATATATCTGATGTAAAATATGTTAATGCACATGGAACATCTACTAATTTAAATGACAAAATTGAAACGACGGTTTTAAAAAATGTTTTTAAAGATCATGCATATAAATTACATATATCATCCACTAAAAGTATGACTGGTCATTGTATTGGGGCTGCTGGTGCCATTGAATCTATTGCTTGCTTAAAAGCTATGCAAACAAATATTATTCCACCAACCATTAACTATGAAAATAAAGATCCTGAATGTGATTTAAATTATACACCCAATAAAAGTGTTCATTCAAAAGAAGATATAGATATTTCATTAAATACAAATTTAGGTTTTGGTGGTCACAATACAGCTTTATTATTTAAGAAAATTACTAAATAAAATTTTTACGCATTTTTTATTATTTTAATAAGTGGCAGTACATTTTTTTTTTTTTGATTATTAATAATGTTTTATTAATATTTAATACTTAATATTTATAATTTTAAATTTTAATTTTGAGAATTTAATAATACATATATATATATTTAATTTTTAATAAAACAAATTTTTTTTTTATTTTTATAAATTATATAGTTTATTTTAAATAAGAAGTTGTTATATTTGTTATGACTATTCATACAATTATCACACTTTTAAAAATTAATGTTTAAATTCATGAGATTAATTTTTTTTCATATCCTTTATTCTATTTATATTATTAAAATATCCTTTCACATTACTTAAAAATTTTATTAATAATATTGATTTATTTTTTCATTTACTTTTTATAGATATATAATCTCATCTTTTTAATGTTATATATATGCAATTTACATGAATTTAATGAAAATTTTTTTTTAAAATATATTTTTAATTCATTTATTTCATATAAATTATTTTATTTACGATAATTTTATTGAATTTTCAATTCTACAGTAATTAAAAGAATCTGTCAAAAATATATAAATTTAATTTTTTTATAGATTATTCGTATAAAAAACAAAAAGAGAAATACATTTTACTTGTCATAATAAGGATACATCATTTATTATACCTAATTTTGGTTTCTTTATAAAATGAATTAACACAAATTTTCTTATATAAATTTAAAATTTATTAAATAAAAAAAAAAAAAAATAAAATAAAGTGTTTCTGCATATCAATTATATATGAGGATAATTAAAAAAAAAAAAAAAAAATGTTACGGTTTTTATGAAAAAATTATATTATTAATGGATAGGATATGTTTTTTTTGAAGAATTTCAATGCTTTGAATTTTTTATATAATTACAAAAAAAGTTAAAAGTATTAACAAAGTATATAAATATTCATGAAGTTTTTATATGAAACTTTAAAAAAATTAACATGAGAACAAAATGATATATTATTATCTATTTTGTTAAAAAGCTATTTTATATACTAAATGAAAAAAAAAATAGTAAAAATTTATTTATATATTTGTATATTGATCTAAAAAAAAAAAAAAAATGAAAAAGATAAAATTAAATGTAACAAGAGAAGAAGATAACTTACAGAGCAATATATATTACGTATGTGAAAAAAATATATTGATATCACAGTTAAATTTGACTATTAATTATGATGAAAATCATTTAACCGATGAAGAAGTCATAGAAAAAGATAATTCAATGTATTTGAATTATGACAAAAATAAGGCAAATGAAGAAAAAAAAAAGAATATAAATATAAAAATTTCATATAGTGATGAATTAAACAATTTATATTTTAACAATGTATTAAATAATATTTATGATTACATTTTTGAATATAAAACAAATAACTTAAATATAAATAAAAATCATAGTTGGTATATATTTATAAATATATATATATATGAGTATACACCTTATATATATGATCATATATGTAATGTAATAAATGTGCATTTGTCTTTATTATTAATCCCGTTTTGTTTCTACGATTTTGACTGTAAGTGGTACAGAAGTGTAGAAAATTATGAAGAATTATATAAATTGTTATCTTATAACGTTTCAGCTAACTCTAATAAAACAGAAGATGGAGATAAACAAACTACATATTTAAAGGAAAAATCAAAATTGGAAATATATGAAAAAGACTCAAAAAGTGAGAAAGATGAAATGGAATCATATGATGTTTTAATTTTAGATAAACACGAACAAAATAAAAATATAATTATCAATCAATTAGAAAACAATAATTTTGATTTATTTGTTGAGATTAAAAATAATAATTCAAGTGGTTTATTTAAAAGATTATTAATTGAATACATCCCAATTTTAACGACTATAAATGTAGATGATCAATTTGTGTATGTAATTAAATTTATTGATTTTAGAGACTTTCTGTTAAATACTCAAAACAGAAATGATAATATTTACAATAATATTATTGAAACATATAAATTCTTAAATTTTACTCAATTCACAAAATTTGAAATGAACAATATTAATAATGATAAGAAATTTGAATTAGATGAAAATTATTATTTTCTTTTTAATGCTAATAATACAAGCATAGATAAAGATAATGTTTTGAAAGATTCTAAATCAATTATTCAATTTTATTATAATTTCATTTTAAATTATTGTTTGAATTATTTTGTTGACAATTATTTAAATTAAAAATTATTGATTACAATAGATAACTGATAAAAAGATTACATTTTTATTAATTGTTTGAATAATATTTTGTTTTGTTTTTTAATATTTCTTCAGAAATTTCCCACAATTCCTATAAATGAAAATAAATATAAATATTTATATAAGTGTATATAATTTTTTGTAAAGTAATGTATTACTTTATTTTTTTTCTTTTAATTATTAAATATATATATATATATATATATATATATATTTAAATTATTATAAAAATTATGTAATATTAACATTTCAAACACATAAACATTTTTTATTTATTAAAGATATATTTCGAAACATGTTTTTGAAAAATGTAAATCTATTTTTTTTATTTTTAATATATAACCTCTGATTTTTTTTGGTTATTTGCATAAGTTCTAATGTAATCTACTTTGCAATCTGAGTAATAACATCCTTTTGCTAATTCTTCTCTATCTAATAAGCATACATATCTATACGAAAAGATATATATATATTATAATATGTAAAATACAAATACATTATTTAAGAAAAAAGTTTTTATATAAATATATATATAATAATTATTATTTAAAAGAAAAAAAATTAATTTACAGAATGCTTTGAGCTCCTTGTAAAGGTGTTTTGTTAAAAAAAATATCTGTACATAATGGTCGAAAACAAAAATGTTCATTTCTGAAAATATCAGTTTTAACTAAACCTGGGTTTATTGACACTGAGCAAGCCTTTGTTTCTTCATTTTCTAATCTAAATGAATAATTATATGATTTTGACAATTTTTTAAGAATAAATATATGATATATTTATTTTTTATTCAAACCTTTTTTGTAATTGTTGTGTAAAATAAAGCATGCATAATTTGGAAAAGGCATATTCTTTTCTATAAAGGAAACTCACTTTTATATTTTTTGTATTTTTTTCATAAATAAAGTCATAATTTATATCCTAAAAAATATATATATATAAATAATGTTAAAATGATAAACTAAAAATATCGTTTAGTAAATATTTAAAATAAAAAATAAAAAAAAATAAATAATACTCACCGATTCCTTTAACATACAATGAGCTATGCTACTTAAATTAACAATTAATGTATCAGATGATAAAATAAGTTCATACATTAATTTAGTTAAATAAAAGTGACCAAAATAGTTAATGAAAAACACTGATTCTAATTTATTAATATATTCAATTTTTTGATTCAAAAATCCTAAAAATATTTATTAAAAAAAAAAAAAAATAAATAATATAGATAATATTAAAAGTACAAAAACAATATATAAAAATAAATATATATAAAAAGAAGAAAAGTAAACAGTATAATACCAGCATTATTAACTATTATATCAATTTTGGAGAAATTCTTTAATATATACTTTGCACAGTTTTCTATACTTTCATAACTTCCTAAATCTAATTCAACACAGTGTATTTTAGCACTGTTTAAAAAACATATATATTTTTATATTATATCCTGTATTTACATGAATATATATATATATATATTTACTCTGGAAAAGTTGTCATTAAATCTGTACGAACTAATTCCATATATTTCAATGATCTGCAAGCTAAAATAATTTCACATCCAAATTTTAAAAATTCTTTAACTGCTGCAAGACCTATTCCTTTATATCCACCTAAATAAAAAAGTTATAAGAAAAAAAAAAAAAAATAATAAATAAATGTAATTAATAACAAAAATAAAGAGAAAATAATATTTAGACATTTTATTTTTACCAGTAACTAAAATACGTTTTCCTTTTAATTTATTTTTATTTATTAAAACATCCTTTATTGTACCACCGATATTTTTTTTACGTAAAATATAATAATATGTAATAATAATTATTATATTTGTAATATATTCATAAAATTTATTATAAACAGAAGAAATATTAGAATAATTTTTAAAAACTAAATATAGAAGAGCTTTATAAAATGGTAAAAACCTGATTAAACAATGTATAATAAAAGAGAATACAGAAATCAATTAAAAAATAAATTTAAATAATTAAATGTAAAATATATCACCATATAATTCCTGAGATAAATATAAAAATAATAGATCTCTTTAATGATGGATCAGTGAAAATAACACCAAGAAATGATTTTGATTTATTTCTTACCTCCATAATTAATAATATTATTAAATATATATACTAGTTTTTTTTTTGTATTTATATATATTTTAAGGATAAAAAAAAAAAATTGTATGAGATGAAAATTTTTTGTATATTTATTATCATTTAAATTGACAAATTTCCTTCTTTTTACTTTTTACAAATACAATATGATCAAAAATATTCTTTCAAATAAAGTTACACTGAATTTTTTATAAAGTTCTTAATTCTTATGTTAACACATTTAAATTAGCCCTTAAGTTTGTTTATATTATTTTTCTTTTTTTTTCTGCATGTGTGATTTAAATATAGTGAAATATATATTTATTTTTTATAAGAATAATTTATCTATCTTTTTTTTTTAAAAACAAATTTTATTTTAGTATATGTAGATCGTATATTTTTTTTTTATATTATTGTTTTTTTTTTTTTTTTTTTTTTTTTTT